GACGACGACGACGACGACGACGACGACGACGACGCCTATGACGACGAAGACAAAGCGACCGATTGTCTCGAGAGATTCGATCGACCTCCCTGATTATCTCGATATTAGGAGCATAGACGCTAGATTGCATCCGCGTAGGTCTTTTTTGTCCGCTAAGACTAGGAGCTTCGATTACGACGTGATGCACGATACATACGGTGATCGTTTCGGTACTAGGCCAGGGGCCGTCGGTCTGCTATCGCGCCGGGCCAAGAGTTTCGAGTACGAGAGCATTTCGAGCAACATATTCAGCGACGACAGTCTCAGGACGGCCAGAAGAAAGCTCAAGCGGAATCTCTCTCTCAGCGACGCCGGGTACGGTGACAAGATACCGGCGTTGGACGATCAGAGCAAGTCCTACTACGATTCTAACGGTGACGATAAAGTGCCTACGGGTCTGACGAGCAAAGAGACGAATTACGAATTTCTGCTCGATCAGGACCACAAACCATTTTACGGATATGATTCGGAGCTCAGCTGCGGCGAGACGGAGATTTACGTTCCGAGTTTCGACAAGCAGGACACCGAAACCGACGATTATCAAGCCTCATACAGTTCCCGTTTAACGGACGACAATGATCTCTTCAGCACTAACGACCGTGCTAATCTCAGGAATGTTCTGGACAAGGATGATACTAGTAAGAGAAAATATATGAACGGAAGTTACTTGAATCACGACTCCTCGTACATCAGAGACATATCTTCGGAGACAAGAACCAAGAATGTAGATAGCGATCTTAGTAATTCGATCAGCGATAATACCTACAGCAGTATCGAGGGGGCTCTTTCGTCCAGTAAAAGTTACGATCGCGATGTTCTCGCGAGATCCGCCACGAAGATCCATGACGCCACTAACGTGGATGAGTGGACGTCGAAGGACATAAAAGGTGTTTTGCGGTCTCGTGGAGCAATTAGTCGTTCCTATCAAGAGGATGAATACAAGGATCGTGAGAATTGGGACGCCGATTACGACGAAGGATTTATAGACCGGGAGAAAAACGAAGACTACGAGCAGAAGCAGTTTACTAGCAGTTACCTAGACGAAGGCATTGGTGCCTTAAGAATTGGCAGATCGCACGAAGGCGAGTACTTTCACGATGTGTCAAAACGTTCGTGTGCCGTTAAGGGAAAATGTTACGCACAGTCCGACGATGACGACAGGAAGTTCACGACGGGCGATTACATAAGTTATCGTTCGTCCGACGACTACGAGTATCGGACTACGCACACCGCAGGTATCGGTAAGGAAACATACGAGGACGGATCCATACCGCGAAGACGAAGACGAAGAAGCAGGAGAGGCAGTAAAGAGGGAGGCGCAGGTGACTACGAGAATCTGCGAGCCAGAGACATGTCAGGCGCTCAGTCGAGATTAACGGAGAGCAGGAGACTGATCCAACGAACGGAGTCCACGCCGACCGTACACTCAGACGAGGACCTAAGTTCAACTGCGGATCGCGCCAGACGCATGTACCGCCGCAGGCGAAACAGCAGTTGTCCAGAGAGCAGAGATCTACGAATGTACCGCCTGCGAGGAAACGACGAGAGAACGTCGAGTATTTTGCTGGACTCTGACGAGGAGTTCGGCTCGATGGAGACAGTAGTCGGCGCCGATTATTTCAGTCGTACGTCGGGCTACGTGACGGACGCTAGACCGGGCGACGGCGTTAGATCGAGCTTCTTTGACGCGGAACAAGATCGTGGTAGCTACTTAGACGCAAGATACGATCACGAGGACCGATATCAGGATCGCAGTTATCCGGCGGCACGCGGGCTAGTTAGGTCAGGGTCGCAGCGTTCTTCGAGTCGTGAGGCGCGACACGGGTCGCGCGCTAGGCGTAAGAGTAGTTGCCCGGAGTGTCGTGAGCTAGCACTGTCCTCCTCGGAGTTAGGTAGGTCGGGATCGTTATCGCGGAAGGGTGACGATTCTCGGCGTTCATCGTTAGAGACGAAGCATAGATATCGTAGGCGGAACAGCAGCTGTCCAGAGGCTAGGGATCTCGAAATGCTCGAGAAGAGGCAGCGTCAGCAGCAACTTGTGCAGCTCCATCACCAGCAACAGCGGCACTCGAGTCAGCAGTATCAGCAAAAGCAGCAACAGCAGCAGCAACGGCAACCACAGCAGCAGCACCATCAAACGCAGCATCAGCAACCGCAGGGAAGTAGTAAAAGGAACGTAGCGATCAGCGACACCCTCGAGTACTACGAGTACTCGATGGAGAGCGAGAGCCAGTGCAGCGAGAACTGCGGATTTGGCCCGTGCGATCCGCGTAGGCCCCGTAATCGAGCACCCCGCCCTGGTAACGCTAATTCGAGTCTCTTTGATTCCCAAACCGCTACCTCCGACACTGCTAAAAACTACCACCCACGGATCGACGATCATCACCACCAACACCCACAAAACACGAAAACGTCGCCGCTCGCCAATGTCGCCGATGTGGCGTCGACGTTCCTGCCACCGTTGCCGCCGTCGTCCTCGTCGTCCGCCCGACGACGACCCCGAAAAAAATCCGCTTACGACGTCGACGCCGTCGCCGATCGTCGCGACGACGACGACGCTCGGAATCGTCGTGCCTCATCTATGCCCGAAAGCAGCGAGTACACCACCAGTCAGTCGAGCTCGTACGAGAAGACGTCCAGACGCCAGGTCACCGACAACGGGCACGACGAGCGTGACAAGAGAAGTCAGTTCACCAGGAGTCTCAGTAACGCTGATGTGCCGCAGGACGAGAAAGGTGAGAGAGAAAGTTTACACTGTGACTAAAATTATCGTTACTCTTTACAAAGATTAGAATGTTATATCGACAAATTCTCCATTTATTTCTCAATAACAAAATATATTTTACGTTAATCATTTCCACTATCACGAATCGTAATCGCGCTTTTAACATATCTATAATAGCGAAAGCTGCGCTTATTAAAATTAAGTTATCAAGTTGATTTCTCTACCATATGTTTACACATTTTGCCTTTTAACAGAAATTTTGTTTGATGTCTATTTTTCGCTAATACGTATGAATTCTCTTTAAAAAGGTATCGATTTTACTGTCACGATGACGTGATATGTATAGCTGAGAGAATGAAGACCAAACTTTGCAGAAGTGTAACATAAATTTTCGTCGAGATTTATAGTCACAAACTCGTTGCACTCGAATTTAGCGGTAATTAATAAACTGCGGATATACATCCATGCGAACGTTCTGAAAGTTGTCTTTGAGTTTGCAGAGTCACGAAATCTTCCTTTGTCTGTTGTTCAACGAGTAAAGATCGGACACGCATTGCTTTTTATATTTTACGTAACGATTATATTTTAATGTCGGGTTACATAATGTATAATTTAACCGAAGTTAATGTAAAGCTCTCTTCTTTTGTGTAAGCTTACTACAGAGCACAGATTTTATTTTCCAAACTGACGTCGCAAAAGACAGTACGAGAGCAGACAAAAATGTGGCCTACATTTTTTTTTATACCTGGACTTTATCCTTGGACCAAGCTAATTTCATTCTATAAGTGTACAAGTGCATGTCCTTGTTTCGCAGACACGGGTAGTTTCAGCGATACCGCGATTGCGTTGAACGTTGAAGACGCAGCGAGGAGAGGCCGTAAAAGCTCGCCGGGAAGTAAAAGCGGAAGCGGCAGCAGTAGCGGAAGCGCGGTGCAGTATCAGGCGGGTCTGGGCAAGAAGAGCAATAGCACCAGCCAATTATCCGCGACAGGTAACACATTGTCACACTGGCCATTTCTAGTTAAGTTTGCGTTTAGTCTCTACGTGTTATACGTAGTCGTGATTTTTCGTAAAAGATCGATCGTTCGCGCGAAAGTAACGTCTTCCCGGTGCGCGGTATTAGAACGTTTGATCGATGTATGACACCATCTTGCGCGACATTAGACAGTTTTTCTATTTTCCTGACGTTTTTATATCTTCTCTCTTTAGTGAAAAGGATATCGTTTTCTTCAGAACATCGATATTTCGTAATTTAGGATAGAGTAGTCTAGTCATCGTTAGTGTGTAGATTATAACGGTGTGCTCTCGCTACGTACATGCAAACGAGGATGATGGAAATATGTCGTCGATGTACGGACGCACTTTTTTAAACATTAATGAGTAAGATGAGTTCGATATAGCCTTGAACGCGTGCGATAGAAATTTTCGATTACATCTTATGGTCAAAATACGAAGAATGAGAATAAGGAGAGACTGAGGAATAAAATGGATAAAAAGCAACATCAGTATTTTTACAGTGCGATTGATTACAAACCGGATATGAAATACTTAGATATACGTATTTTATACATATAAGACATAAGACAATGTAACTATCAAATTGAAAGTGATACAACGAGTACTCTGGCTGAACAATTCTTCTAATTATTCCTTATATCTTATTCTTCATATTTCACGAATCTCGGTCATTACGATCACGTGGATTGCATTACAATTCGATTCGACGGGTAACAAATTGAACGATAACAAGAGCATATCGTAGAGAAAGCAAAAAAACCCAATAAGCGGGGCAGTATGTACATTCTAATTGTATTCTTGTTTTCTCCGCCATCCCTCCTCATCTCTATCTGCCTCTTCTTCGACATGAACACACTCACACTTTACTTCTACCAACCAACCACCTCTCGACGCTGGGGGACCATTCACGTCATCGATCTGCACCCACCTGCACGATTTCTCATCGCGGCGGCCGATCGTCGTTCCGCGTGCTCGTGCGCTCGTGTTCACGGAACACTCCACACGGATCACCATCATCGATTTGCTGGACCGATCTCGCCAAAATAAAAAAAAAAAACAATAAAAAAACTCGTACCGGTACTCTCTTATGGAAAAAAAAAATTACGTTTACGCCTGTTAAATCGACTCGATAAACTGACATCACGTTTTCACAACTGTTGCTCTTGCTACCGCAACTTGCAACCACGAACGAACGAACGAACGAAACGAAACGAACAACAAAACTGTATCACATCACGCAAAATCCATAACATACCACGTGCGTCTGTTGGTGGTACATGCGTGGGCGAGGAAGGACGGAAACGGCGGCTGGGTTTCGGGAAGAAGGGGAAGTCGTCCTTTACAGTTCACAGGAGCGAGGAGGTCCTGCCGCCGGAGGATACGGTCGGTGGTAGGAGCGGCCGGCAGCCGAGCTCCGCGAGCAGCGACGGCGAGGGGAGCGGCGACGGGGACAGGTCCGACTTGCTCTCTCTCAGTAGACCTCCTCTCTTTTTCATCTCTCTTTCGCTTTATTTTCCTCATTATTTTTGCATCGACGCGGGAGCGGTCGACAACGGCCGGTCGAAGAAGATCTTTATGTCTTACATGGGGGGAAGGGTGGGAGGGGTCGCGTTTACCATTGCCTTCGAAATCCGTACGTTTTCGCAACAGAATGAATTCTGAGCGTTTGGACGATGAGACTGTTATGTCGCCGAACATGACGATACGCATAGTCCATATCGCGCGTAATAAAGATTGTTCGCACAAGTGGAAAAGCGAGACACTGATAGAGGTTTTTACTCAGGTATTTTCCAATTCCGTTAATCGTAAAATTGGATCAAGCCTTCGACGAAATGTGAGTACACGTTGCAGGTGGACTTGCGATAGGAAGAACAAGAGCTACCGTCCAACCCTACCGATGTTAACAGCAACAATGAAACACACCACACATCACTCTTTAGAGGCCGTGCTTTAGTCGGAGTCGTGCGAGTCTCTCGTGATTGTTGTCGGAAAATACTCTCTTGCCTAAAAGTTGAACCGTTTTCAGTACGGCGGGTCCGCAAAGGATCCACGTTTTGCCGTCGAGTATTATTTCTCTTTCTTTCTTTCTTTTTTTTTAGACTAGATAATCGAAGAGAGAAAGTATTTTGCGAATCTGCACGTTTCTACAAATGGTCACGAGGTGATTCCTTTCCTTCTCGTTATTCTAGATCGTAGATGCTATTTCTACGTAGCATTGATACGTTATTTCTAGAGGAACGTTCGCACGAGTTTCCTGGGCTGTAATCTAGCCGTATCGATACGCGTGTCAAATTGTCCGCCTCTTTTTTCGGTATTCCTTTAGAGATGCAGAGTCCACGCGTCTCCAGTTAATCCGATCTCCACTTATTTTCTTATTATTCCGATATGACGCGAGCCACGCAGATCAGGAAACTCATATCCTAGTTGCACAAGTATAGTTGTGCTGGCGCCTTTTCGTGACTCTAGAATAGTGTCTCGGCACCGTGTGTCACGTTATAATCGTTCCGTTCCATACAGCTTTTGAATCTAGATCATCGCGTGGTCAATTTGAATTTCTCGATTGCATCGAGGTAAGTTGGCCACCTGTGTGATACGTTATTTTTTTATTATTTCTTAGAAGCCGCTGTTGATACGTGCTTAAGGTGAGAGTGCGCTATTCACACGGCTTTTGACTTTTCGATGTCCTGAATCGTTGCAATGCTTTTACGGAGCATATTTACGTTACGATATATACATATATATATATATTTCTGTGATATCACTGATTACAAATTCATCGTTGAATGTGCCATAAATTATTACTGGACAATCCTTATGTACCGATTTGATAATTATAAATCTTTATTCTGTTCATTAAATCCGCTGTACAAATTATAAATGTACAAAATATATGTGTGTTATATATGCATAATTATATATGTATAATTGTATATACATATAATTATCTACGTACTTAAGGCGAATCTGGAGAATATATTAAATAATCATATAGTGGAAGTAAATATACATGTCAAGTGACTTTTTTTTTTAGTTACGACTAATTAAATTTTACATACAGCATTATCGTACATAAAAAATTATATATAAATTATTTCTGATTATGATTAACTTTTGTCTCGACAGCCTGCATAAATTAATTAAAACAGGATTAATAAAACATATCACGCGATAGACAGCTAAAGATTCGTTTATATGTGCTTTTGCGCTCTATCTATTGCTATTCAAACAAACTCTTATTGGATTGTCAGTGATATTTCTTGTCCCTATAAATCGATTTTATTTGCATTTAGTAGTCCCAGAAAGAGTATTCTGTTATGATTCATGCAAACGTTATCGCGTTATTATTTATGACACGACAAACATCAGACCTTAAAGTTTATTACGTAGGGTACTAAGATTAAATATACTCTTTGTGTTGATGTCAAATGCAAATGTTCTCGCAATGTTATCTCGTTACATTTCACTTCAAATATCACACTTCAATAAATTTTCACACTCCCTTTTCCTACCTATGTAGAATTCAATTCAAAGTGTTTTACGAATTACAAGATCTCATTCCAGCTCTGCATTTTTTACCACTGACAATTAAACTATTTCTGGAAAGCGAACAGGGACACTTAAGCAAAAACGAGAGAGCAAAGGAAAGAGAGCATGAAAGAAGAAAAAATTTGTGAGAGAGAGAGAGAGAGAGAGAGAGAGAGAGAGAGAGAGAGAGAGAGGGAGAGAGAGAGAGGGAGAGAGGGAGAGAGAAATAATCAACAAATATCTTACATACTGAAATTGTGTTTGTTGTTCTGTGATTCCATCATTGCTTGTGCGGAGACGCGCTAAATTAATGACCGGCAATTCGGCAGCCCCCTTGGATACCTGAGGATGAGGGAGCGATGAGCCGATGCAGTTACAGACGCACGTAGATATTAGTGGAAGACAATAGTTTAGCGGTATTTCTTGTTTGGTTTACAACGCAGAATGCAGCGGGATGTTCATCGGCACCAGTGGAAGCGCCGGCGCCGTGGCACGCAATGCCGGCTTAGCGAGCCGGAAGCGTAACAGCACACCGAGCAGCATACAACGATCCGAGGAGATAGTGCCGGTCTATCAGCGCTTTGACAGCAAACTGGCAGGATCCGCAGCCAGCGATACGGCCGGAAGTCTCAACTCGATCTCTAGTTCCGAAGGAAGCTCGTAAGTAGTGGACTCCACCTGTGGCGACCAATTCTGCAAGCGGAAGCGCGAGATTCCTGATACATACACTCACACTTTCTCTCTCTCTCTCTCTCTCTCTCTCTCTCTCTCTCTCTCTCTCTCT